TTTGGTAATGGTCATGAGTTATTTTGGGTAAAAAAAATCGAGGTATTTTATTTTGGGGTTTGAGATAGGGTAAGAAAGGTCTAATCTTGCCATATGTCAAAAATCTATAATCCTTGAAGAATTAAAAGAATCCTTAATTCATTTAATATTCGAAGAACTAAAGATTAAAATTTGTTCAATTGCTCCACTTTAGAAAGTAGCATAAATTTAATCCTTTAAAAGATTAAGTAAACATGAAAGATCAAAGACGTGTTCAAACAAAACAATCCTCTAAGTGCAAATGGTATATGCCATGCCCCCTTCGACAAGTGCCTTATATTTTTTTTAGAGGAATGTTTGGGGTTTCTTATGTGATAACAGCTAACAGCTTCAACATCGTAGCCCTTAGGATATGGAGATTCTTTAGATCTTCATGGCAGGCTTTGTCCTACAATCAGCTGATCATGCTCCCACTGTATTGTTTTCAGTTTTTTTCTTTAAGGTTACAATCTTGCTTCCATGTGGTTAAATCCACTTCATCGAATCATCTAGGAAGAAATTTCATGTTTATGAAAATGCTTAAAAATGTAGATGAAGATGAAAAAATGCAAGAATGCATGAAATGTTCGAGGCATTGATCCAAGAAATGTGCCTGTTATTATGAATAATCCTTATTGGGGACAAAAATGTTTTATCTTTTAAGAGACATAAAAACAATCAAAGGTATGTTCGGACTAAATCTTCTAGACATCCATCCGAGATACTTTCTTCCATGACTCGGCTGCTTCTTTGATCATCTTCTTATAACTGTTAATGTGATACATAAACTTTGATATAGATAATCCATATGTTGCTGGGACAAACTGATGTGCCCCATACTGTCTAAGTGCTAACAATGGAGCATACCCCACTGCACCTCAAAATCCAGGTAATGTCATAGTGTCAGAGTCCCCACATCGGAAAAGAATGTCATTGAAGAACAACCAGGGGGCTCTCTCAGTCTTGAAGATGAGTGAAGACTTTCATCCATTTCTCTTTTGAAGCACCTTCATGTCATGTCATGGTGATGAACTCTCTCAAAGGTGAATACGTAGTGCTAAATCTACAGTAGGTAACCCCATCAGTCTTCCAGAAGTGGATGTGAATCCAGACTTGAAGGAACTGAACACATCCAATGAATCTACCTCCGCCAGCTCTTCGACAATGGTTGAGAGACCAAAAGGTCTCGGCTGAGATGGTCAGTGCTGGGTTGACTCGTTTCAGAAGTTGCTCAAACAATTCCACCACGGCTGCGTCAATGCATCCCAAAACCTTCAGAAAGATGATCAAGCCATACAGACCTAGTGCAAAAAGGTCTATAATATTCCATTCATCAGGGTGGTCCTTCATTAGTTCCCTTATGTGGATCCACTCAATTCCTTGCCCGTTACCTTTGTTTCGGAGTCGGTCAGTCACCTATTTTTCATCAACTCCAGCAATCTTAGCCAGTCCGTTCTTGAAAGGCTGACTCTTGATGTGTTTGATGTAGGCTCGCTCCAGTTTAATGCTTTCACAGTGCAATAGTGTAGTATACTCCTCGATGGTAGGTACCATGTCCTCCTGGTTAAAAGTGATGCAACTGTATCCCAGGTTCCAAAATTGAACCAAGACTCTGATTAAGGGCTCATCGGTCTTAACATGAAGCAAAAATGCAATGTCACCATACCGCTGACTGAACTTCTGTTTCCGATCATTCTTCCAACTATCTCAGATGTCTCGAAGTTCTTGCACATTATTCTGTTTTAGGCTGATAAAGGCGTAGCTAACCAGCTCTGACGCATAACTTCCTTGAAGACTGTCTCCCTTTTTTCTTCTGAGTCTTCTCGGACCATAGTCGTACCTCGGGTTTTTTAATCTCTTATATTACAACACCTTTGTCCATGGATTCAGATTATTCGAGTTTTAACAAACACGTTTTAGTGGATCAATGACCTCTTTTATGATGCAAGTGATGAAAATAAAATAAAAGAAAGATGAAAAGAGTTAGTGAGGTGAAAATAAAAATAATCAAAAACGATCATAAAAATGAAAGTCCTACCCCACATGATATCTACCCCACATGCTTATTATTCTTACCCGGACATGATCTCTATCCCGCATGCTAATTTCAAACAAATCCTAACCACATATTTGTCTAGTTCGCATGCTTTGAACAGAAAATAAAGCAGGAAACAAAGCAACCTAGGGTTTGGAATGAGATTTTGGGGTGGGCTCTAATTCTCCATGGTCTCCCGGTTTAGGTGCTAAAAAAACGGTACCCGAGTTCTCCTTGCTGGTGCTCCCTTAGGCTTGCCAGACCCTTAGTCCTAAACCCATCACAGGCTTGTGTGGACTAAGTTAAACTCGGGAGGATACATTCCATTATGCCCATACGGAGAATAAATTCACACGAAGGCATAAGGTATATGAATCCTGAAGGTTACTTGCTAGGCCCATACGGAGAATAAATTCACACGAAGGCGTCGCTTTCACCCCTACTTAAATAGGGTTCGGAGCTCGGGTATAGAGCCTTTAGATGAAAAAGTTTGGAAAGCTGAAATCATTAGAAAACAATCAGTACAACTATTTACTCGAAAATGTAATCAAAAGTAAGTAATAAGGATCGAAAAATTACCTTAAAATTCAAACTTACCCTTTTCGTTAAAAAGACAACTGGAAATTACCTTAGCCTGACTCACTTACCTGTCCCCAGTGGAGTCGCCAAGCTGTCGCAACCGTCTTTCGGTTGGGCCCCGGAATTGGGCTTCGACTTAGAAAAATGTGGATTGGAGTCGCCACCGATCATTTATTTAAAAATAAATGGGTTGATCGAATACCCTATTTCTTACCTGATCTGCGTCTTACCAGAAATATGTCGGGCTCGGGAGTCGGTTACGGTCAAGGAATGATTAGCACCCTTGAACCGCCCTTTCGGTACTACGTAATTTCCAGTTGTCTTAATTAAGAAAAATAACAAGTTAAATTAAGGTAAAGTTTCGATCCTAATTACTTACCCTTGATGATTTGAAAATATCCTTTAAAAAATCGAGAAATGTGTTAGATAAACAAGGTAAAGAAAACAAATAAGATACAAGGAAAAATAAAATAAAAAGTAAGATAAAAAAAAAATAGTAAAGTATAATTATATAGTAATATTTGAAAAAAGGAAAAAAAATAAATATATATATATCAAAGTATTAAAAAATAATATAATAATAATGAATAAAAAAAAACAAAATATAAAAAATAATATAAATATAAGTTATAAGATATATTACATAAATAAAGAAATAATCAAATAAAAATAATTAAGAATATATATTTAATAATAGGTATATATAAATAAACTATAAAAGTATAAAAAATATATACGACTAGATAAAGATAATTACAATATATATATAATAATATTAGACTATAAGTAAATATTAAAGAAATATATATATATATTATATAAATAAATATAGTAAAAAAAATAATGAAAATAATTTTATATATATATATATATATATACATAATAATAATAACATGAATAATAAAAATAAATGAATAAAATATTCATATAATAATAAAGGGACTAATATAGATTTTTTAAAAAACCTCTTCCCCTCCTTTAACCGAAAATCAAACCGGTTTTTAAAAATAAGCCTCGGGGGTAGATCTAGGTTCGAAACTTCGAAACCCCACCCATTTTGGTCATCGGCGCAACCCACGTTTTGGGTTATTCGAACCAAATCTCAAGAAAAATAACATGCACATGCAAAGAAAGAAAAAAAGAAAATGACCTTTTATTTCCTTTCGAATCCTTTACAATAGTTTTGCCTTTGTATCTTCCCGTGCTTTCCTCTATGTTTTATGTGTAAATCGTCCGTTACAATGGTGAGTTACAATGGCTATTTATAGTGCTTGTAGATCCTATCTTTAGGAATTTAAATAATAGTAGAACTCTATCCTATTTTTTGAATCCTAGCAAAATTCTATCATATCTTTAGGAGTTTGCATCCTAGTAGGACGAAAAGGTGTGTTGACAGTAGGTTCAAGAGTATGCGAGATGTAAGCAGAATAAGGAAAGGCATGGCATCATATCTTTGCAGATTTTCATATCAGAGAAATGTGATAATGTCACATGAAGGTTGTTGGCATGTACCATAAAAGTAAAGTATGGATGCTCTGATATGTATTTTAATTATGATTTATTAAGTTTTATGTTCCTTTAATGTTTTTAATCGTATTTTAAAAAGAGACAAAGAGTTTGAAAAGTCAATGTGACACATCGGATTCGTATTTGGGTCGGATACGGGTTGGGGTGTTACAAAATTAAACAATTTTTTCATAAATTAAATCGAAACATTAAGATATATCTGGACTGATTTCCAACTTTGTACAAAGGAGACAAGCTATTAATATAAGGAGTTACAGGATTTAATTTCAGGATTTATAACAGCTGAATAATAATGCAATGAACTTGGACTATTTTTTAGTTAGGTTCATCTGGACGTTTTTACAATAAAGGGTTTTAATTATGATTTTTTTATGGACGGTTTTAATCATATTTCTAGCCTATAAATATATAGTTGATTTCATCTTCTCAACTCACTCTCTCAATAGCTTTCCACTCTCTAAAGTGTTTACAAAGCTTTATCTCAATATTTTCCGTTTAGAAGTGCAACACTACCAACAGTCCACTTTGGTTTCGGGTGTACGAAATTTGGAGCGACCGTGTTAACCTCGGGGGATGATCCGCCTATTGAAGCGATTACACACATCGAACCGAATTTGTTTCTAAGACAGTAGTTTTACCACAACACGGTTTACGAATTTATTTCTTTTAAATTACTATTTATCTTTCCAGTCAGTTTTAACGGTGTGATTTTGCATTCCGTATTTACTACAAAACTGCCCAAACCATGTAATATTTCTTTCTTTCTTCCTTCATTTGTGTTCCCAATTTGATCTTTTAAGGCATTGTTTGAGTAATATATCTATGAAATGTGTGATCAGATATGGGAAGGGCAATGGAAGCTGTGGACATTGAACATCCACATGGAACTGAAGGACGTGTTCTTCAGCATCATGCTTCCTTTTTTTATCAGAACAAAGACGGAATCGTTTATCCCTCTGAGACTTACAGAGGTTTTTCCCCCCTTCCTACAAATTTTATTTTTAATTTTATGTTCTAATTTTATTAGCAAAATTTATGTAAAAAACCAGGTTTGAGAAACCTTAGTCTCGGTTTCTTTGAAAGCGTTTTTGCTGGAATCGTCATCAATATAGGGTTGAGTTATTCCACAACAGAAGTAAGTTAACTTGTATTCCCTTGTACAAAATGAATATAAATAACACATTTTTAAAAGGATTATATAACAATTTCACCATTTGATAGGGATGGATAACAGAACTATTTTCCCCCATATATATTAAAAGAATCCACAAATGCAAGCATGGCAGTGATTCTTCAACGTTTGACACTGAAGGAAGGTAATTACCATATAACATTTGAATTATTAAAAACACAAAGAAACACAATATTTTGACCCTTGATATGTAATAAATGGAATTTTCAGGTTCATGCCAGTTAATTTTGAGAACTTCTTCAGCAAGTATGCTCGAACCTGGCACATGACACAGTCGAATCGAAACCAGTATGACTTCCTTGGCTGGTATTTTCGAACACCCCTTTCTTTTGATTTCGTGTTTTTGATTCAATAGACGCTTAACCTATCCTTTGAGATTTTTCTACTGTTTGCAGGATAATCTCAAAGGGCGAATGGCTGCTTTTGTATCGGATTGCAAACGATTCACAAGGTTATCTAGCAAAAGAAGCAGTAAGGGGATGCTACGATGGGAGTTTGTTTGATTATATTACCATGATGAAAAAGGCTAAAAATAATTAAGGGCGTACTTTGATGGGAGCTTGTTCGATCATGTAGCCATAATGAATAAGGTCAACTTATTGAAACAATGCATGCTGCTTGTTTGAAATAAGTGTGTTTGAAATAAAGTTATCGAATGTATTTGAACTAAGGTTTCATCCTTTTTCAACAATAATTTATGTTTTGTTTTACTTGAGATTTAACAATTTCTATCCAGATTCTATTTAAGTATTTTTGTCACATATATGTTTTTCATAATAATATAATGTAATTTAAATTATTTATTAATCATCAAAGTAAAAAGTCAATAAAAGTATATGAATTCTCTCAAAATAAGAAATGAGAAGAAAGACAATTGAATAACATTTATAAGAAGTGTTTCTTTTATTTTCCACATTCGTAATGTGCATTACAATAGGTATTTATAGGATTACATGCATGAAAACTTACATTCATTTAATAAAGTGAGTTTATAACTCAACTAAACTCCTAAATTTAATTAATTAAACTAAAACCAAATTAATTCTTTATTAAAAATAAGTTTAATTTCTAACCTCCCCTTAAACTTGATTTTTACCAACTCCTAACAATCTCCGGAACTTGCAGAATACATCATACTTTAGGGGCTTGGTGAAAATATCTGCAACTTGGTTATCAATACACATTCACAAATAAAGTGATATCTTGTGTCTATGTGTTTGCTTCGATCATGAAACACTAGATTCCTCGTAAGAGCTTGAGCGGACTTGTTATAAATCAAAATCTTTGTAGCATTTTCTTGTGGGAGTTGAATTTTAGTCAACAATCTTTTAGCCAAATAGCACAACTAGCACAAGATGTAGTAGCAACATACTTAGCTTTATAACCAAAAAGCTCCACAATTGGTTGCTTCTTAGAACTCCATGAGACAGTTGTATCTCCCATGAAAATACATACCTGCTCGTGCTTTTTCTATAATCTTTATCTCCTTTAAAATCACTATCACAATATCTAACAAGCTCAAATATATTTGAGAAACCATAAAACCAGCCATAACTAAGAGTATCTTTGAGATAACAAAGAATTCTTTTTATTGCAGTTAGATAAGAAGAATAAGGTTTTTGTAACATCCCAATCATCAGGTCAATGACCAAAATGTAAGAATTTAAAACTCAGTGGTTTAATTAGAATAACTTGAAAAGTTCAAGGATCTATTATGGGATTTTGTGTAGGGCTTATTATCAAACTTGGATTATTGGAAGGACATTTTAGTCTTTTCCCAAGAAGGATTTTTATCTTCCTTTTTAAGGGAGATAAACACGTGGGGTTTAGAGAAAAAGAAAAGAGAAGTCTGGAACCCATTCTTATCTTCTTTCTCTGCCGTGAGCTCCACTTTCTAAGGTAAGATTTTGAACTTTGTTGATTTCCTTCAATTTTTGGGGTTGGTTTTGAAGCTTGAGAGTTATATAAGCTTAAGGAAAGCTTGTATAGGAGTAAAACAACAATATGAGGGAATTAAAAATGGATTTGTAAAATAAGTTTTTAAATGAAGATTTGATATGGTGTACTTTCTGAAGTTTTAGAGATGAATTTGACTTGTAAATGATAAAACTAAAGAGTTAGGAGTAATAGAAATGATTAAGAGTTTGGGTGAAAACATGGTATACTTTTTAGATGTAAGTGTTCAAACGAGATTTTGTATGTTTAAGAGTAGTAAATGAAGACAAGTTGGTTTGGTTGCATAAGGTTGAGTTTAAAGGCTTAATGAGGGATAAAAGTAAGTGAATTAGGAAGTTTTTGGTTGATTTTTGAAATGAAAATAGCAATTTTGGGCATGGAGTATCAGTACTGGAAGAACAGTACCGATACTTTAAGGTAAAATTAGTGGATTTTGAAGGATGGTATCGGTACTGGTTGAAGAGGGTATCGATACTGAGTTGAGAGAATCGATACCAAGGGTATAGTATCGATACCATTTCCAAGTTAAATTTCCTAAACGTCATAATGGTATCGGTACCATACGGGGGTATCGATACCAATGAAGGGAAGTATCGGTACTGTAGTGGTAGTACCGATACTACTAAACATTAAATGGGAAATTAAGTGTTTCTTTTAGCTTAAGTTATTATGATTGGTTATGCATGACTCGAAGTACGATATTGATTTTTGATTGTTTTGTGTAGTTGTTGAACATAGTCAACTTTTGGTCAACACAACGTTATAAGTATCGATCCATAAACGTTAAGGTTTTGCTTAAGACTCAGTGAGGCAAAGGTGAGTGCAAATTCTCGATTTCATATTATAATTGAGGAAGGCTTGCGATAAGCCAACCTCAGTGTTTTCGATCGAAAACTTTTAAATTCCTTTATGTTATATCTTTATAATGTTTTATTCTAGTTTTTTTTATTTAAATTGTGATGAATGATTATGAATATGTGATATGTGAACATGAGTATACAAAGATTCTCAACGTGAAAGTGCTTATATGAATAAGAAATACTTCGAATAATTAAAGATAAATAAGTATATGGTTAAAAGCCCAAAGTATATGTATGAGGATTAGAGGTATAGTTGGCATGCCAAGAGTCGAGGGTTCTATGTGGTCTTTCGGGACAATTATGTGGCATTTCGGTGCAAACATATGTGGCACTTCGGTGCAAACTTATGTGGCACTTCGGTGCAAACCTATGTGGTCCTTTGGGACAATTATGGGGCACTTCGGCTCAAATTACGAGTTATGGTGACAACATTAGTGCACAACCTCAATGTACTCAAATACCTAGAGTTCTTTGTAGTATACGTTGGGCATGTGGAAACAAAGTGATAAAATGAATAATGTATAACATCATACATTCTTGTTATGGTAATTCAATTGAAATCCTTAAAAAATGTTTTATGACATAAATAAAGATTTTGTTTATAAAGTTTGGTTTTATCTCGTATTTGCCTCACTAAGTCATCGACTTAGCGTGTGATTGTTTCACACGTAGGTTTGAAGAAAACAGAAGAGTAAAGCTAGGCGTGGATAGCGTACACCCGTGAAGATCATATCATAACAAATTAAATGTAGGTGTTTTGTAATATTCCAAATGATTGGCATGTACTAAGCGTTTAATTTGGAAATACTCTGATCTATATTTTGTAAACTTCTACTTTTGTACTTGTGTAAATTATTAAAACTTTGATGAAAATATATGAACGTAAATTTTATTAGTTTATTTTAAATTGATGGGTTTTACCTTTTATTTATGAGTAAAAAATTTAAATTGTTCTTATTTGTTAATTATCTATGATTTGAAAAGTTAATGTGACACCTCGGATTCATATCCAGGTCGGGTACGGGTTAGGGGTGTTATAGATTTTCCATGAAGCAACAAACAAGTCCAACAACAAAAAGAATATCAACTCTTGTAGAAGTTTGGTGATGAGTGTTTTAAATTGAATATATTTACTTGTTAATTATCTCGTAGTGTCGATTTATTACTACTGGTTTGGTTCCATTTCGTTTGTTTTCTTGCAAGAGCTTAATTTCTAGAAACAACATTAAAAGGGTCAATTTTTAAATTTTTCTGGAATCATGACTGGAAACATGGGCATGACATAGCCCGAGTGACAGTTTCTAGAGGATCCAGTCAGCAGCAATTTCTAGTAGGTCCAATCAATATTAATCTAGATATGATTTAGGAATTTAAATTTGAATTTGAAAATATTTTAGGATTTATCTTTAGATTATTTTTTACATTTTTTTAATTTTAAATTTTATCTTGTTCCATCTTTAGGGTTTTATAAGACTATAAATACCCCTTTGGGGTAATGCTTAGCGATGACGCAATTCGTACAATGAAAATTAAAACAACACGTAATATCTTCAGATATAATTCTTAGTTTTCTAAAAACCATGATTGACAATCGACATTTCCTTTAAAATCATAACACTTTAATGTCAAAAAGTCGACGTTGGTTTGGATGTTGTTCAAATTTAAAGTTGGGAAGAAGAATCAGTTGGTAGCAAATTCAACTTCCTAAGTACAAACTTAGCGGCGATCCGCTAAAGGAAATTGATATCGAATTCGATTCTCATTGAGACAACATAATCTGAGTCAGAATTTTCCATCCTGTTTTTAGTGCTAACGACAATAGCCGTAGTTAGTCCAAGCAAGGATTGAATTTCAAAGATTGCCTTGGGAATTTCGGTTTACCAGAGAGAAAAGTAAGTTACAAGGGTTGGGCCTTGTAGACTGTAACCGACATGAATCCTGAAGTAAATTCTATTTCACTGATCAAAACGAATTGAGGCAAAGCAAAGCTTGAGGCTATTTATTCAATTGATTTCTTTCTCTAAAACCGCTTTTGTTATTTTTCTAGTTTAATTTTCACATTCTACTTTTTCGTATTTGTTTTATACTTTGCTCATTTAATCGAAATCACCCCCTCTTTTTTACTTTCTCATAAAAGTCAAGATCAAAATCTCTTTACATCAGAAGCTCCTTAGTCCTTGTGGATCGATCCTTCTTCTCTAATTATGCTTGTTATTTATTTTATTTGAGATTAAGGGTTATTTATTTGACAATTTAAGACGTTTATCATTAAGCACCTTAAGCTCCCTATGAGACTTCTATACATCGTATGATGTACTTTATTTCCATCATCAAATTTTGAAAGCTTCAATGTGCATTACATTGGGGTGTTAACATGCTTACATCCAAGTATGTTAAATTTCTCAAGTACTTTCTTGCAATAGCTTTCTTGAGTAACAAAAATTCTAGTATCGGTCTGCTTTACCTCGAGGCCCAAGTAAATAAGACATGAACCATAAATCAATCATTTCAAACTCCTTTGACACACTCTTTTTGAAATCTTCAATCATTTTTGGGTTGCTTCCTAAGAAAATGAGATCATCTATATAGAGACAAACAAACAAAATATCATGTTCATGGATTTTAACATAAAGTGCATACTCATGAGTGAACCTTTTAGATCCATTATCTTTGAAATACTTGTCAGTTCTGTTATTACAAGATCTTGGTGCTTGTTTTAGGCCA